ACAGCAGCTGCTGGCAGCATCCACACACTGTGACTTACGGACAGCTCTCATTGGGAAAGAGCTAACAGGCTGGTGTGCTATTGCGGTTGGGATTGGATGCTGTTTATTTGTGGGGGGGGGAGTCTCAAATTGGGTACCAGTAACCAGTTGTCAGTACCCTGCTACACACAGGACTCCTTGGCTTGGGGGCTTTGTCAGTCCTCTGCATTGCATGAAAGCCATGCTGTACAGAATGTCAGGCTGTTGTTTACCAGGGCTCGGGGTTCAGTTATTTTTTACCAGGGCTGTAAAGATAATGTAACGCCATACCTTGTGCCCCTGTGGAGTGGCATGTCAGTCTGTTACTCGATGTTATCGGCGTTTTCCCAGGTGGCATCACAACACTTCCAGCTTGAGCGCTGGGAAGTGTATAGACATAAGAGAATGAAGAACCAGATGCTCTTCTGTCTATTGGTAAGTATTACAGTAATTTTTGCCATAAGAAGCCAAAGATGAGAGGAGAGGATGAGAGGCGGACTATCTGGCCTAGATAAGAAAATGTTCCCATGCAGTCAGTCAGCTGGAGATCTCATAGAATAGACCTCCCTTTATATGTAGTGGTATAATGGGGATAAAGAGCCATCTGCAAGCATAAATCTCACATGATACAAGCATAAAGCATACATGGCTTAGTGTATTTATCTGTACTGACAAACATTTCAAAATGCTACAAAAGTCCGCTCTAACACCTCGAAGCTGATGCTGGCAAATAAGAACAGCTGTGTGACTGCAGGCAGTGTTTTAGCTTGTAGCTAGGCACGCCATTCCCACGCAGACAGCAGTGTCAGGCTTAAAGAGCCCAGGCCTACCCAGGATTAGTGCAATTAGAGGAGATGATGTAGAAACAGCATGAGGCAGATGCCTGGGTTTCAGGACATAGATCAGTTTTCATAGGGAAAGGCATACAGGATAGTCCCACCAAATCTGTAAATAAATCCTTGGAGATAATACTTCAGAACCTTATTAAACGTTAATGATGTTGTGAGACTGGGCAAACTGAGAGCCATTAGTCAGAGTTTTGTTTTATTATCATGTCTAAGCAGAGCATTAGCTTCACCCTGTGGGTGTGTGTGGGGCCTTCATTCTTATTACCTTCATTTTGTTAATAGAATCTGGAGACTCCGTTCCACTACAGAGAATAAATAAGCATCCACTCTCATTTGCGAATATAATAGCAGGGTAGGTTGCAGGGATACTCGTGCAAACGTTCAGATAATGGCATAATACCAGTGTTACTGTGGTGTAAAGGGAGGACACAGTCTTCTGGGAAATAATTTTTTTGAACCTAAATGTTGCATGATTGGTGCAATAAGACCATGACTTCTCCATTCTATTCTATTCGTGTCACGGAAGAGCCGGAGCCTATCCCAACGAGCAATGGGCACAGGCCAGGACACACATGGGAGCTAATTGACCTACCAGAGTATCTTTTGACTGTGGGTGGAAACTGGAGCACCCAGAGGATTCCCATGTGAACACAGGGGGAACATGCAAACTCCACACATACAGCACCCCACTCCACACAGACTGTGTCACCCTCACAAAGCTCAGGATGGTAACAAATCACCCCACAAGCTCTAAAACTGACAGCATTTAGCAGCGGGAGAGGCCAGCCCTGCACTTTGAAGCATGATATTCTGTTGGTTGTTCAGGTAGAACTAAAGATCTCAGGAAAGTGGTAATTTGGACAGGTTCTATAAGCAATTAGTTCAGCTCAGTTACTTAATGGCAAATACTCCATCTGAAACACATAAGTTCTGGCTGTCACCAAGGATAAGGTTTGAACTGTCTTCAGATTACCAGATTAAATAACGTGAGCTCGGCCAAGGGGCTGAATATATTTCACACTTTGAAGCCTTTCTTCCTCATTTGTTCCTCAACGGGGGTTCAATGCTGACTTTTGCTTTCCTCATAAAAAAAATAAAACTGGAGAGGCAGAAAACGGGGGGGGGAGACAAAACCTGATTACCTTTGAACAAATGAAGCAAATAATTGCCACGTCTCAATAATGCACCCAAGAATTGGGAAAGAAAATTCCTTACAGGTCTTGATTACACGTTTGTGACTCTGAATTCTAAAATGGCCTTCACATTAAGTGGGACAGAAATGAAATTATTGTCCTGGCATAGTTCTCCAAGACAGAGTTATTAATTGTTCGAGCAGCCCCGATCAACCCATTTCACTTATTGATGCTTGAACAATCAACCACCCAGTCCAGCTCATGACAGCAGTGCTGAAACTGCACATTTGTGTTTATTACTTTTCAGAAACTCGGGCACGCATTGCCTGCCAACAACAGAAGCCAGCAGCACATCGACTTTGGTCAGATGGTAAAAAAAAAAAAGTTTCATTATTGCTTCATTGCTGCAGCATTTGGTGCCTGCAGTAAACAAAACAGGACTGATCCCCTGAAGACTTACAGTACAGTAAATAAGGTGTCACATATTGTGTCTTTACAGATACAAATTCTCATTTTAATGGCTTCAGAAATTTTTGCCCTTTTCATAGCTCAGCAAAGCAACAAAAATAAAGCATGTTAGTTCAGAGGCCGGTTCCAATGAGGCTGGTACAAACTGTGCCATCTTTCTTTAGTAGCCAGTCAGGGGAGAGTGCCAACGTCATGTGCTGAGGACTGATGGACTGTGGGCAAGGCAAAATAGGCCTATGGACCAATGAGCTTTTTTTAATGAGCCTTAATTGTAATGGGATTTAAAATAGGTCTGGAAATTGCCGGTATAATTAAAGAGAATTCTGGAAGGGATTCGTATGGAATAAATCACTTCTTAAAAATCTGGTGGAAGGGTTACACAACAGCGCCTAAAAACACAAACCTACCCAGCAACTTTCATTAAACAAATTTGTTTTTTCCATAGCTTATTTTAGACATTCACTAAACTACCAGTTTCTCTGTTGTTATCCTTTCTCCTCACTTGGGTCCTTAAGAGTATAAGAAATGTCTATAAAGGAGAGGTTGGGTATTCAGCCCATCTTTCTCATTTGGTACTTGTGGTATCCAAGTGAATCTAAAATTATGTCCCGCCTTTTTTTAATGGTACCCGGCGTGTGGACATTAAGTTGTTCCAGACACCCACTACTCTTGGTGTAAAAAGTGTTTCCTTTTTTCCAGTTATCAGTTCTTGTAAATACATTATCTGGATTCATTTTGTTTGATTTTTTTGACAAATCAACCTTTCATGTGGGACCTAATCAAGCACTTGCTGGAAATCGAAATATATCATGTTTTGTCATGCTTTATCATGTCTTGCTGCTTCAAGATAGACTAAACCTTACCTTTCTAAAACCATTGACAGCTGTGTCTTAAAATGTCCTTGCTTTCTAAGTATTCTTCTAATACTTCTTAAAGATATTACTTTTTAAAGTATTAAAACTTCTTAATAGTATTCTAATAATTTAGCTTTATCATTAACTTCACCAATAACAGGGGTGAGACTGATAGGTCTGTAGTTTACTTTATTGTGAGTGGGTCTTACAACTGTAATTTTCCAATCTGTGGGAACTGCTCCCATTCTAAGTGAGAGCTGAAATTTTCTAGCCATGTCTATGACTTACATTCATCATTTCTTTAAGTATGACTGGAACAATACCATCAGGCACCAGTGAGGTATTTGATTTTAACCTTGCTATCCCATCTAAAACAAACACAGTATCAATAATGCTAAAATAACCCAGTTCTGCTGTAGCCTGAACTATCATTTGGACACTATGGACGTCTTCTATTGTAAACACCTGTGAAATATTTATTAAGCATGTTAACTACATCTTTATCATCTTCTATCATGAATTCCTTACTGTCTCTCAAACTCTTTATTCCCACTTTTACAAACTTCAGCAGACAGTACCCAACAACACCCTATATTGTGCATCCAGTACACTCCTGGCCCTTAAGATAGAAAGTGTTATTTTTAAATAAAATGTGAAGCTAGACTGTGCTACCTTGTTGCCATTCAGAGCAGGAACGTTAACTGTTTGCAGCTTTACTTTCATCAGTCTCTTTACAAGTGATGTCTCCTGTGAAGGGTGGAGTAGCGGCTTTCAGACTGTAATAGAGGTGGGCTGACATCCTCTGTCCGGTGAAATCTTGTCTGAATCTCTTCATCC